AGTTACCGAAAAGAATCCTCAGCCCAATTTACAACTCTACCAGCAATGTCTTAAAGTAGTTTTCTTTCTCCTCCAACATTGAGTATTCCCTTCTTTAGTTTTCTTTGACAATTTTGGGGTGTAAAATAAAATTTCAGTTTTTTGATTCATATTTCTCTTTCACTATGAGTGATTTGGTCACTTTTCCATGTGGTTGTTTCAACAATATAATCAATATTGATTATCTACATGATAGATGCTAGCAGCTAGGTGATTGTAGTAGATGAAGCACTGGGCTTGGAGTTAGGAAAAACTGAGTTCAAATCTTCCTTCAGATACTAGCAGTGTGACCTTGGGCAAATTATTTAACCACTGTTTGTCATAGTTTCCTCAACTGTCAAATGGAAATGATAACAACACATACCTTTCAGGGTTGTCAGGAGGATCAAATGAGATATTTATGAAGCACTTAGTACAGTGCCTGGCACATAGTAGGCATTATATAAATGTTGCTTTCCCCCACCTTCACTTTTGCTCCTACCACATTGTATATGCCCAGTTCCAAGGTTCAACATCCTTAAAGTTATGCACGTTCACGTGTGAGAATATAAGATAACTATTATCTAGTTTTAAATGGAGTCTATTGACCACTTGTCCTTTTACAAAAAAAAAATTTGGCAAAAATACTAAATTTAATAGCAAACACCACCTCTTCTGATGCCGAGGACTTTTGTGGATAAATTTAAAATTGGACAAAGACTTTACTGCATCATGTACCTATTGTGACATTTTTGTTTTGTTTGGAAGTTACATTTCCTGAGGCCTTATATCTGTGTTTTATATAACATTAATTACTCTTCAATCATAAGTTCATGAGTATAGAATGGAATATTGGAGCAAGACTTAAAGGTCTTGGTGTGAACTGAGTTGGCAGCCTTTTAGCAATCCAGTTCCTGAAATGTTCTTGCTGATTAGGAGATCCTAAAGTTTATGTAAACTAAGACTTAATGACATGTGATTCTATTTTTGCAAATTATCATCCACAAGACTTGAAATGTTGACTGGAGCTGCATTTGAGAGTGTTCTAATATCACTTGGTTTTCCACTATCTTAGTCATTCTGTAGCTTATGGGTTTGGGAGTCTCAATTCATTTATTGGATAAATGACAGTTTGTGCTGGAAAAAGTTCGTAGCAACTAGCTAAAGCTGGCTGGGGTATCAGGAAATGGTAGGACCTAAGAGTGTGCTACTCGTTGTCACTTCGGCCTCTTGGTTGAACCTATTTGCTATTAGGCCTCAAAGTATAGAGGAAATAGTGTTGAATCTGGAGTCTGAGAACTCTGGTTTAAATCCTGTCCCTGTCATTTAGTATCTGGGGCCTTGGACTAGTCATTTCACTTTAGTTTCCCTATTTATAAAATGAAGGGACTGGGCCAGATGATTTCTGAGTTCCTTTCCAGCTCTAAAACATGATCCTATCATTTGGTAAACTTATCATTTCTGGACTTTACTTTGAGAAGTGTTTGTTTTCTAGAATGAGATAACTTATGCTTTCTTTGTGCTTTGCAAATGACTCCAAGTGAGGCGATTGCATGATGAATTCTGAAAAATAGCCTTGCTCCCTTAGAAATTCATTAATAGCAATGTACTCGAAGACTCACATTGATCTCCTCTGTAATAAACGTGTTGTCATAATTATTCTTTTAACGTTCTATATTAATCTAAATGTTGTCTATTTAACATCATATGCTGCTTATGTCTCACTGCCAAAATCATCATCTCCTTGATAATCCTATATTACCATAATCACCAAGAAGTATAGTCCAAAATGATTAATTCCCGAATGATTAAAGTGTCTTATCCGGGTCCTTTATTATTAATTGAATATTTGATGATGGAAAAACACTCACCATCACCAGGGAGTCCTGACTATTTGAAAAGCTGTACACTTATCGTTAGACCTCTTATCCTTGGGTGGTCTGGCTTCTGCCCAATGGTGTTGGTGGGAACACTCTAAGGTACGTAAGAAAATAGGCAGGCCCTTGGGAAAAATGACAATGAGTCATTCCAGTTTTCCGTTCTCTGAGCCTCATGCTTTTCCCATCAGCTGGTCATTGCTTGGGCATGTTTACCCCTTGCTGTGAAGGCTAATCTGAAGCTAAGAGAAAAAACGAAACTCACATCTCTTCAATTTCTTCAAGAAAAGTCAAGTGAACAAGGATCTTGACCCTATAGAATCATTTAGGCAGCTTGGGAATTCTCTGGATAATCATCAGTCACTCAGTCACTAAGCATTTATTAAGCACCTACTGTGTGCCAGGCTCTGTGCTAAGTACAGTTTAGAGTTGGACAGCACCTCAGAAGCATTTAATCCAACATATATATATATATATATATACATATACACACACATATATATGTCTGTATACCAGAAAGATGCAGTGATTTGTCCAAGAGCCAGAAGTTGAATCCAGTTCCTCCTACCCCAAATCAGAGAGGATTTTTAAGGAAAAGAGGTGGAAGTCTAGGACTTGAGCAATCCAAATTGGAAACCTGATTCTCACCCCAGCTTCACCACTAGCTCTAGACCCCCATGAAAATGAGGTCCTGGATGGAAGTGCTTTCTAGTGGATGGATGGGATAGATATGCAAATGGAGGGGAAGTAAGGAGAAACTGTATAAAAAATGAATGGTACCCAATACCTAATTTTAGCCATACTCCCTTTTTGAAGAATCCAGTGCTGTTTTCCTCTCCTCTCTGCAAGCCAGGAATGAATCCAGGTGGCTGCTGTGCCATGATAGTTGAATGGAGTCATAATCATTGTATCATTGTGGAGTGACCTGAACCTAATGGTTGGCATTTCAGCATGGCATGTCTTTAGATGTTTATTCCACAGCCCCTAATGGTATCACTTTTATAATATAATTTATCTGTGTCATCTCTGGGTGTCTTACCTTGCTAATCACAGTGTAAGGTCCTTTAGGGCAGGGACCTCTGACCTGTGTGCATATCTCACCAGAGCCGAGGTCAGGAGTATGTCCAGAGGAGGGGCTCTATAAATGTCTGTGGGATGAATCAATTCCTGTACTTAATTTAGCGCTTAAATGTTCTCTCGTATTGTTGCAGGTGTTAGGTCTTGCCTCCTCAACTAGATTGTAAGCTCCTTGAAGACAAGGAGTAGGCCTTTGTATTATGTGTGCTCCCACATAGCACGTAGCACAGGGCCTCCCTCACACATCTAAATATGTGTATGTCCTGGTTTGTGGGTAATCCATCTCTGCATAGGAGCTCAGATGAAAGCCCCCTTGATTCTCTCCACAGGCTGACATGAAGTTTTTAGGATTGTAAAACACATGATTTTTAAAGAGTGTTTCTTGATACAAGGAGACAGCCCAGTTGAAGTCCTAATATTTACTCTATGACCATCCTCTTGACCTTGTCATGAGGATCATAGATTAAGATTTGGAAAGGATTTTAAAGGCCATCTTGTCCAACTACCTTATTTTATGAATGGATAAACTGAGGTTGAGGCAGCTAAGTGGCTCAGTGGATAGAGCTCTGGGGCTGGAGTCAGAACGACCTGAGTTCAAATGTGACCTCAGACACTTACTAATTGTGTGACCCTGGGCAAGTCACTTAATCTCTGTTTGCCTTAATCCCCTGGAGAAGAAAATGGCAAACCTCTCCAGTATCTTTGCCAAGAAATCCCCATGGCCAGTATCGGTGTGCTATGGTCCACAGGGTCACAAAGAGTGAGGTCAGGTAATTTGCCTGAGATGGCAGAATAACTGGGGAAGTCATGGTTCAAACGTCCAGTTGCTCTGTGATCTTAGGCCTATCTTTCCCTCAAGGTGCCCTGCTGCTGTTTGTGTGCCAGTTGGTGGGGATCTGTGGGAAGGCGGTAATTTAAGTGGTGGTAGTGGTTTGAATTGCTTGGCACGTGCTGCCCCCTATCTCTCATTAGGATGTTTGGGTGATACTGCTTAATAGTGAGTATGCCCTAATGCAATATCTTCTCCCATAAACCATTCCCTAGTGTCCTATAGCACTCAAATTGAAGAGATGATAGGATCATAGATTTAGAGCTGCATTGGACCTTAGAGATCACTGAGTCTAGATAGCTCATTTTCCAGTTGAGGAAACTGAGGCATAGAGAGGGTATCACTAGCCCAAGGTGACATAAGTAGCAAATGTCAGAGGAGGAATTTGAATCCAGATTCTAAGTTCAGTACTCTATCCAGGACACCATGCTGCTTCTACTTCAAATTACATATCAATTTTTGTACTTATTTCTATTGTGTGTGTTTGTCTCACTTCCCCCACATTACTTACAAGCTCCTCGAGGGTGAGGCATAGCATATACACCTTATTCGTCTTTGAATCCACCACAAGACTTTAAACAGAGTAGGCACTCAGTAGATATTTACCGACTGATGTCACAGACATGAAGATTGAGTTGGATGGACCGAGGATCTGACCCAATATAATTCCAATTTTCTTTCTAATGATGAATTTAGACTCACAGTTCTTTATATTAATATTAGGAAATTGATTTTAAAACTTGGATGATTGAGAGCCTGGTTTGTTCATAAAACGTTCTAATATAAGACTGGCCTGACACCACAGAATGATAGAAATAATAGACTGTCAGAGCTAGAAGGGAAGGAGAGAGCTAATCAAATCTGACTCCTTCATTTTACAGATGAGGAAAATGAGCCCCTGGAGAGCTGGAGAGACTTGCTCAGGCTCGGGGTCACCCAGGTAGCAGTAGAGGCTGGGATAGGGGAGATCTGCTGTTAGAAGCCAGCTATTCTGCCTCCCAGTCTACCCTGCCGTGGTACCAGTGTTTTACATCAACTTAACACAATTGGTCATCTGAGGAGAACGATTATTTTGTATTTCATAGAAAAGCATTGATGGCTTGCTTTACTTTCTTCAAACATTTTCCTGCAGCATAAATAAGATCTAGGCAATTTTTGTGGAAGTAACTAAATTGGGCTTTATTTTTTGTTTGTTTCAGATCAACCTTTCTAGCGATCCCAGCTGTGTGGAAGAAATTTTGAGGGTGAGTTTAAACTTTTATTCCTGTGATTGTTTTTTGGTAAACAATAAAGCTGTCTATGATGACACCTGTCATGCCTGTTAATAGGAGGCCAAGGCTTGAGCTTGGGTGCTCTGAGCTGTAGTTGAGCTAAAGCTTTTTGGATGTCCTATTAAGTATGGCACCAGTATGGTGAGCTCCCGGAAGTGGGGAGGCCCACCAGGCCGCCACAGGAGGGGCAACCCCCAGGCTGAACGCAGAGCAGAGCTTTCATGCCAAGCCATAGTGGGATTGGGCCTGAGAGTGACTGCTACCCCTCCAGCCTGGGTGGGGATATGAGACTCAGGCTCAAAATAACAACAGTAATAATAATAGTAATAGTGATGATGATGACAATGATGAAGATTTCTCTCTGGTTAAAGTGCTCAGAGTAATTGCTGGACTGTTTCAGCAGTGTCATGCTCAGAAACTCCCATCCAGCTTCAGTTTGCTTGGCTTCCTTTCTACATTTCCTTTGTTCTTCTCCCCCATCACTGCCTCTAATCAAGCTCCATTTTTCCATCTCCTAACAAAAGCACTCATTTCCTACTTCATTCCTCATTTCTTACGGTCCCTGGTCAGAGACCAGTTTGCCACCTCTCTTTCAGGAAGCTTTCTCTGATCAGGACCTTAAGTCCCTTTCTTCCCTAGCTCTTTACTTGGCTTAAGTGCTGATGCTTTCTACAGTTTAGATGGGTTCTAACCCCATGTGGAAAAATGATACCCTAGGAAACGACATTGAAAGGAAAACATTTAGCTCTAAACAAATCCAGTGAATTGGGCCAGTCGGCATCGGGGAGCAAAAAGCACCCTATTCTGGCATCTTAGGCTAAGGCTGTTCCTTGTCTGTGTTTACCTCTTCTGTATAGTGGGGAAATCTTATTTCCTGAATGACGCTGTGCATGTTGTAGTGGGGCTTAAAATATTACTGAGTGATTGGCATCATGATTGTATAATGTGTCACATTTAAAGACCACTTGACAGTTTATTACAAAGCTCTTCCATACATACCAGCTCCTTTTACTTCATTGGACCTGTTCCACGGAGGAGAAAATTGCAATTTGAGATTGCCTATCTTCTACAAAGTTACACTGGTAGATTCTGGTAGGCTGGAGAGTAGAACACGGTACAGTATTCCTTCTGATACATTCTTACATTTGTTCGGGACATATTCCTTTAGTACTTCAAAGATCTGGGATTTTGATCAGTGTGGGGACACACCTGCTTGACTGACACAGATTGAAGCCCTTCTTGGCCTTGTAGTTGTAGTGGATTATGATGGCACTGAAAAATTTATCTGACTATGAACAACCTTCACACTTCAACTCTACAGACTTAGATTGCTCCAGGCCTATACTTAGTCAGCAGTCACACACGTACTGTGTGCTATGTACTATATTAGGGGCTGGAGATACGAATACAAAAATGGAAAAGCTTTCAAGAACTCAGGTTCCCCTCCATACCTCAGTGAGGCACTGGAGAAGAATTTTAGTGGGTTTCAAAATAGATTAACTATATGTGGAGATGTGTGAAGAGTCTGTGATTTTGTCATCCTGGGAGACTGCCTGTCCCACTACCAATGCAGATCACAATATGTAATTGACTTAGGAAATAAATCATAGACACATGGAGGCACACACTCAGCTAGTATGTGTCAGAGGCAAGATTTGGACCCCCAGGTCTTCTTGACTCCAAGTCCAGCACTATCCAATATGTTCTGCTGCCTCTATATATTAAATACACATAATAGAATATTATAGTAATATGAAGTGAGCCACAGTTCATACACTTGAATATTTTGAACAGTATAGGAGAGAATATTCATGAACCAATATAAAGGTATATGTGTATGCATATATCCATATGTGTTTATATATGTACTGCATCCTGTTTTCCTCAGTTGGGGGCTCCTGTTGATGCCAATCAGCAGCTCACTTGTACCTTAGAGTCTCACTGAGTTGTCTGAGTACTGAAGGCTGAAGTGATTTCCCCAGAGCTGCCTGGCGGTCTGTGTCAGAGACAAGCCCCGAACCCAGGTCTTCCTCACTCCACAATCAGCCCTCTAGCTGCTCTATCAAGCTGTTTGTCATTCCATACATTATCACATGATTACTCTCCAGGAGTTCAAGTAAACACTTCAGCTCCCCTGGGTTAGGCACATTGTGTTAGGTGCTCTCATGCAGCATTCTGTTATTGGTGAGACAGCTCTTACTGCCTGTAGACGGGGTATGGAACTTTGATCAGGGTATATGGATTACAGATGGGCTATCCGCAGCTCCCCTCTACATCTCTAGGGCCAAAAGCTGTATCTGGACATGTCACATGGGAACTCATCCATTTTCTACTTTCCACAGGGTGAAGGTATTTAAACAGCAGCAGATCTTTATTAGGCATTTAATTAATTTTCTTAATGAAAGGTAGAGTTGGAAAAAAATGCCTTCAGAAAGTTACCTCAGTCTCCTATGTTTTCTCCAGGGTTCTGAGCTCAAATTAGTTCCACAGGCTCATCTTAAGTCTTAAAGGCATTCTAGAAGCATCCCCAAAGCTCCTCCCAATTTGTCTTAATTGGTATCCTCTCCTTAAGAGGAGCCCAGAGCTAGGGACTTGGCAGCATTGCCATGAAGCTTGGAGAACTGGGGAAACACCTGTCAGTGGGCTTTCAGCATCCAAGCTATTGGAATAGCCACTTCCAGAAGCAAAATGTTGTTTATAACTCCAAAGAAAAGGCACACATTGTCCTAATGTGTTTATAAGAGATAGCATCCCTTGAGAAAGATAACAAAAGCCCTTCTGTTGTACTTGAAAGAGAATTGAAAGGAAGGGCTTGTTTAAAAAAGAAAGACTATCGATCATATGGAATTCTTGTTCCTACACCACTAATTAGCACCCTCTTTTTGACAATTCAGATGTTTAAGATTTATTTCCCACGCTTAGGGTGGCAATGAGCCTACCACTATTGCAGCCCAGATTTCTGGTCTAGTTCTTAACTTTTCAAAATTTCCCAGTTTGTGTATATGTCCTGAAGCTCTTTGCCCCCATGGCTTAGTGTCTAAGCAGATAAAGGCCCTGAGTACAATCTATTGAGATAGGTGTCTCTTTCTGATTCTGCTCATTTCTGTTTCTCTTTCTCACCCCCATTTCAAATGATAGAGTTGAGACTGGCCTCATTTTCTCTCCCCACCTCATTGTTTGTGGACTTTCAACCATTTCTTGTTTTCTGGATGGAGGATGTATCACGTGGTATCTTGGAAAGAGCAAAGAACTAGAATTCAGATGCCATGGGTTCTGCTTCCTGTTTAATAGCAAAAGGCCTGTGAGCAAGTTAATTAGAACCTCAGTTTCCTTATCTTTAAACTGGGTGTGATAAACACTGCCATGTTTACTTCACGGGGTTATATGAAGATCAAATGAAATAACAGAGCCAAGTGCTTAGAGATCTGTTAGGTAGCATACAGCTGTTGTCAAGGATTAGAAAAGCGTCTTTATTTTCCCTGTGATCACTTTCACAATCATCTCTTTTTTTCTTTGACAACAGTATCATTTCCAGGACTGCACATTAATTAAAACTGTAGTTTTTCTTTTAAGCCCTTGCTACAATCTAACTTCCTTTTCACACCCTTGCTGCTTTCTCTGCTTTAGCCAACTTTACCTCCATCCTCTTTATTTTCTTGTTCCATTCAGGCTTCTGTAGGTTTGATCCCATTGCAATAAAAACCGTGACGAGAAAAATCGGCATGATCTAAATTGTGCTTCTGGCAGTGGCCCGCTTATTTGAAGTAATTTTTTTAGACAAATCCAGAATTCCCATCCACCAAATGAATTTAGATACTATCTTGGAGTTTAGTGTGCCTGGACTGAGCAATAACCTTTCTTCCTTGCCATCCCTTAAACTCTGCCTAAACTTCCTCTTTCCTCATGTCAAAGGATTTAGAACTGGAAGGGATCTTAAAGATCATCTAATCCAGTCTCCTCATTCTGCATATGAGTAATTAAGTGACTTACCGAAGGTCACCTAGGTAGCAAGCTACAAAGCCAGGTTCGGGCCCTAGGTTCCCTGACTCCATGCCATGTGGCTTCCCATGAAAACTCCTTGCATCTACAGATTCTTCCAGAAAGCTTACCTAATTTACTCTCATTTAATAGCTTTAGACCCACATTTTCAAATTAAAATAGGCGTATGATGTTATTTAACCACCACCAAGTATCAGCCATCAGTTGTTTATTCACCTCTGAAAATCAGAATCAAACACCACCTTCTAGTGAAGTCTTCTCTAATCCCCCCAGCTACTAGTGCCTTGCTTCTCCCCCACCCTGTGATTGATGGCTTTGTGTCTATTCTCCTAGAGATTCAAACAAATACAGATTTATAGAATTCCTATGTCTCTATTGACCTGTTGTCTCACCTGACTGGATTATAATCTCCTTGAGGGCAGGAATTGTTTCCCTTTTGTCTTAATATTCTCAGCACCAAGATTAGTACCTAGCACCTAGCAGGTTAATAGATTCTCCTTACTTAACTGATTATTGTGATTCTCCTTATTATTGAAATCTTTCTCTTCCTTCAAGGCCCAGCTTAGGTACCACTGCCTGCATGAAGCCTTCCCTGATCCCCACAGCTGCATATGCGCTCTCCTTCCACCAGGATTTCTCAAATGTCACCTTGATCTTTCATCTGCCTCTTATCCCATCCAATGTTGTATCTTGCTTATTAGTGTATGTGACCTGTCCTTCTGTAAGCTCCTCAAGAATAGGGACTGAATTCTTCATCATTGTATCTCTGTTGTCTTCACTGTAAGAGGTACTTCATTAAAGTTTATTGTGTAATTGAAAGCCAGTAGTTTCTGAGATGCAAAAAGAAATAACAAGAAGAAGGGAGGAAGAGGAGTATTATAATAGAACTGTAGCCATAGTTATAGCCTTCGTTATGTAAAAGATTCTGTGATGTCATCTTTCTGGGTAGTCCTGCAAGCATAGATCCCAAACCC